AGATGATGGTAACATTTTTATTAGTTTGGAGAAACCCGTTTTTCGAAAAACTATCTTTTAAGTGGAAGATATTTTAAATTTCTAATGTCAGTGCTTAGCCGTCCTGGGTATGACGATAAACTACATCTGCGCCCTGGTTGGACGATAAACTCCGTCCAACAGCAAGGCCTGTGATCAGGAGGCTTTGAGAAGCGTGGAACCACCTCTTAATTGCTGGTGTTCACAGGTCCATCGTGACCCGGGGTGGTAGCACCTGTTAGGGTCCCAGCTATGGGAAATAGTTATCCCCGAAACTGAGATAAAAAGCATTATGAAATACCAGAAATACTTTGTCAAAAATTATTACCAGGAATTATTTTTTTTGAAGAAGGAAAACTATTACCAGCAATACGGTTTTGAAAAAAAAATTACTAGAAATACATTCTTTGCAATTATATTACCAGATATATATTTTTGAGGAAAAAATATTAAGAAAAATAGATTTTTGATAAAACAAATATATTACCAGGAAAAAAGTTGTCGGCATTAAATGACCTATTGAGGTTGATATGCCGTAAAACAGACCAAACCAAACCAAGCCAGTGCTTGGTCGACAAACGCCACATTAAGAAACATTAAGAAACATAAACTAATATTATTAAGATTACTAAAATGTTATATCATATCAGTCGTCCTACATGGCAGTGAATGCGGGTCAATTGCATCACTGATGAAAAAGAGACGTGAGACAACATATATGTGGTTCTACAGAAGGATTTTGAGAATACAATGGACTGAATATGTGAGCAACGACAATGTTTTAAGGAGAATAGAAAGAAAAAGGACACTTATACTTAACATCAGGATGAATTTTTTTGAAATTTCTAAGGAACAATCAGTAAAGAGGGCCTGGAATATTTGATACTCTTAATATAGATTGAAGGAAAACAACGCATAAATGGGTGTCAGAATAAGTTCTTGAAGCGCCATCGTTCTGAAGGGTGATGGCACATAGAAGGACAACAACAATACAATAACAATAACAAGAAAAAGAACAAGTAAAATGGCAGCAACAACAACAACATAAAACAAGAAGGATAAAAGAAGAAGAACAAAAAGAAGTAAACGAAGAACTGCAACAACAATAACAGGAAAGAAGAAGAAAAACGACAACAACATAAAATAAAAGTAGACAAAGAAAAAGAACAAAAACAACGAAGAAGAAGAAGAAGAAGAAGAAGAAGAAGAAGAAGAAGAAGAAGATCATCATCTACTTAACGGGCCTAAACAAATGTATGGTGGAACAAGGTTCAGAAGAGATTCCACAAAGACAAAATTTATTAAGAGCTCCAAAGGACAGGGAATTGTGAAGACCAACAATCACAACGTCCAGAAGTGACACGTCATACAGAAGAGCAAACTATTTTAGTAATATACTTATATTTGGTAACATTTTAAAGATTTACAGCAATTACCACTTGAGTATAGGGCATAAAATTGCAACATTGCAGAAAAATAGAAATACATAAAGACAAATGTAATTTTTGAACAAATATTCACTAAATAAAACATTCAAGAGCCTCTCAAGATAGAGCATTACGGTGTGGTGTCTGATAGGTGCAAGGCAAGGCAAGAAGTGAAATACACTGGAAAAAGATAACGGTTAACTCTAGACAGGAATATGACAAGATTGTAATGAGGAAACATCTTCTCCGAAGTCGGTTCCAGAAAGCTATAGTTCTTGGGAAGAAGCTGCCCGAATGGAACTTACTTCTTACAACTGGAAGGGATTGGAAATGATTCACTTTTCTGTGCGTGGTATGGTGGGTTCCAATTATAAAGGTGATGACAGGTGGGACTAATGAAAGTAGTTCCTCAGAACACATACCATGGAGATAACGACAAAACAGCGAGAGGCTCGTGAGGTTTCGTTTGTGGCAAAGGGTTTGTAGGTTTGAAAATGATCCATAATGATCCACAAGGCTGACTAGACTCTTTAAACCTCTATCAAGACAACCAACTGAAGACTGCGCATCTCTGGTCCAGTCATAACAGCAATATTCTATTTTTGATTATATCTGGCTCTTGTCTATTACATTAGCTTTGATATATGTCCTACCGCAATTATAAGTCGGGTTCCAGTCACTGCAAATATCCGTAATGGGTCACTAGAGAAAAGAAAAAAATTAATAACAACAGTGTTTGCGTAAGTAATTTTTATTTCATGATCAACTTTCCAGAATTCTTGAGTAGCCGTTCCTATTCTTTTGTCTTTTTCGTTGTCTCTGTAAATATTATTTTGGGGGGCCTTTTATGGAATCGACGGTAGATACATTAAATATTTTGTTATTTCTGTCGTTGTTTGCTCTAGTTTTTTATGAAATATTTGCTAATATGATAGACTTGTGGTCTCTTCATTTTGTATGAGAGTTTCTTTGTTGTTGTCAGTATCAATGATATCAGGCAAACATTTTGCTGAATGTAAATTGCATAATTATTGTTTAATGCGACTAACGTCTTCAAAGACCTCAGCAGGTGACGTGAAGATTTTTGCTTGCTGTAGTCAGGCAATACATTAAATACGATATAATCTCTCCTTAACAGAGTGGGTGGAGATATCGAATACTCGTTAATGGTAATGGTATTATTAGTGGTTTCCTTATAAGGAAACATTTGGCAATCATTAAACAAACAGAGAGTACTGCTGTCGGGTGAAATATGTAAAATCTGTCTATTAAAATGTTGGAGTAAAACATGTTTATCAAGCTCAGTATATGTTATGTCTCTTTCCCTTATTGCTGGTGGCTTCCTTCTCAACTTTTTATATGAAATAGTGTGGCATGTCAACATCTTGATTATGCGATTACTTTCTCTTCCAATAAGATATGATCTGACGCAATATGGCCAACGTCATGATTTGTGACTGGTCTTTTGAATAGAAGCAAAGGCTTATATCTTGTTCCGAGTTTAGGATTAGTTTTCTGGTCCCTTCTAAAGTCTTTTCCTTCTCTTTCACTCCGAGTAGACCCTTGCATCTTAGTGACATTATCAGCTTGCATGGGGTGAATTGAAAAAAAGAAGTGGATAGTATATATATATATATATATATATATATATATATATATATATATATATATATATATAAGTGAACATTGAAGTCAAAACTTAGAGGCGACAGTCTGTTTCATGCTAGACGCAATCGTCAGGCCACGAGTGATGTTTTTTTTTTCTCGGCTATTTATATATACGGGCCAGTGGTGCATTTCGGGTTATCTATTTTCGCGGTTATTTTACCGGAAGTCGTCGATTTATTAATTTATTTGGTTTAAATTATTTTGCTTGTCAATATTTATTTTTTATTTTTTTATTTTTATTTTGAGTTTCTATTTTTATTTCTTATCTTATATATTTATTTTTTATTTCTATTTTAGTCGGTGTTTTATTAACGTAGTAAAAATTTGTTTATATCGCTTATTATTAGTTTTGTTTTGGTTTGGGAAGTTAATTAAAACTATTTATTCAATTTTGGGGTTGATTATTGTAGTTTATTCTAACTATTATTTTGGTGGGAGGAGTTTTTAATTTGTTTATTACTTCATGTATTTATTTGGATTGATTATCTTTATTTGTTTTTTCTCTGGTATTGAGCACTTTATCCTATAAAAATAGCACACCTAAACACTATATTTGTTCATATATATATATATATATATATATATATATATATATATATGTGTGTGTGTGTGTGTGTTTAGGAGAGTGAGATTTTTAATGAAATTAATAGAATTGTGATTCGGGATGAAATTTCTTACTTGTCTATTTATTGCGAATTGTATTTAGTCATTAGAAGGCGCCTTGTAATAGAAATGCTGTCCATCGCATCGCTCAGCAAATAAGGTTAATGAACAGTAACAAAATCATCAGTTGCATGTTCGCGTGGCGTAGCGGTTATCGGCGAAGAAAAGTCGTATTGTTTTGTTGTGTTCAGATCCTAAGCAAGGCCTTTGCGTTCGCTTTCGAACGAACATAAGTGGAAAGGTAAGCATTCAACCCTTTCTGCCTAATAAGACAGACTTTAATCATTAGCTTTCGTTGGCTACCAGTGTAGGAGAAAAATCTGAATACCAAGTTAACTGCTTGGGGGCTAGCAATTCCACATCTTAAAACGTAATTACTAAATAAAACACGGCAGCACCAATTAGTGGGGTGAAGTTTTGACCTTATAATCTACAGGAGGTTCTATAAAAATAACAAAAATTGGTCGGTCTCAAACCTTGTTTTTCTGTGATATGCCTTGCCTGACGTTTTTCCAAGTATCACATAACTGGTAATGTTAGGTTACATGGTACAAGTACCAACCCTTGAATTTAACAGTATAATAATGCTCTTCTTCATCGTTTCGGTTTCCCAGCATCTATTTTTATACTAATGTTCCTACAGTACACGGCTCGAGAGCCACTCCAGTTAGAGGATTACTCTAAAAATGCTGAAAATGATGAATGGGATGTTATATGAATGGAAGACAGCGTGATAGGAATATAATATGATATGATTAAGTACGATAGATAACTATTTACACTTGATTTGTATAGCTTAAGATTATAGTTTCCAGGGAAGCGTCTTTGTAGAAGCATATTTCACAAAATAACTGTTCACGGGGTGGGGGGAGCTCTCTAACAAACTTTCTTTTTACATTTGGAATACGAAGAAAAATGAAAGTGGTTAAACTCAGTAAAAGTAGCTTTGATTAATTGATTTGTTTTTACGGCTTATCAACCCTTTTTCAGGTTATTTTAAGCCAGAAAATATTTTTAGGTTGAAATAATATTTTTTAGATAATAAAGATGTGGTGATACAAATCATACTAATTAAATCGTAGCAGGGTAAGAAAGGAGGATTCATGTCCTTCCCAACGGGCATTTGCGCGTAAGTGAATATAACGAACCCAACTGGAATTAGAACTCGACACTCCGATTAAGAATTTCGGGTCATTATCCATTACACCACCTGCACATCTAAACTTACACCATCTAATATTCCCAGGCGGTCACCCATCTAGGTACTGACCCGGCTCAACGTTGCTAAAGTTCTCTGATCCTATGGGAAACGATGTTTGCTCCTGATGTGGGCGTACATCTAATGAAAGTAACATGGCATGCACTTTCTGTAATGATCTGAATTGATGGAATTAAAAAAAAGGAGCTTAACTGAACATTTGCCATGGAAATAGCGGTAGAAGAGCGACTGATTTCCAACGTTATGTATGTGAGAGAGAGGCTACACAAATGGGAATATGTCTTTCATAACAAAGTCGCGAAAAAGATTTGGAACTTTTTCAAGGCTGGAAAGGGGCGATTGAGAATATGGAAGCTATAGTCAATAATCTATAGTAAAAAGAGTTAAGTACACTCCGGAAGTGATAGAATGATCCGATAATTTTCTCATCATTTTATAGGGAAAGAGAATTACATAGCAGTATCAACTATAACATGGTAACGGCTGCAAAAAAGAATTCTCATTCCAATCTATTCTTCACTGTTTATATTATTCGGACTATTGTCATCATCTTTGTCGCCATACTTTACAACGTTTCGGCTGTTTCACGCTCTGCCCTCCTTCTCAAGGACACAGGGCACAGTGAATAAAGGCGTTGGTTAGATCAAGTGACAGGACCCAAAGAGTGCGAGTTCAATACTCGGTTAAGACAGTGGAGAACTTGGAGAGGGAAATTAACAAGAGATAACTGATAACTGATATCCATTAAACATGACACGTGAAACTAGAACAGTCTACCTCACTGAGTGGAATAAAGGGTTCAGTTCGACATTCCAACCACCTGAAGAAGGCCGGAGCGTACAACGGCCGAAACTTTGTAATAAATATGGCGATAAAGATGAGGAGAATAGTCCGAATAATGTAAATAGTGTACATAATACCTCATCTCATAAATATAGACAGATACTAAAATATTCTTATGATTCAGAATTTTAATCATCAAATTGGACGGGGCGTCCATCTTTGAATCTCAGAGAGCAAAATGGCTTAGTGAAAAGGGGTGGTTTATTTGAAAATATTATTATAACAAATACCGGTGGTAGGAAAGGACTCCCGTTCTGACTGGGCTCACTCCTTTAATCATTATGACATGCCAGTGTAGAGAACCCTACAAAGATATCTAGCAATGAAACAGCGTAAGAGGGACGTAAAGCAATATTGTTAACGAACTCATATTTTCAACATATATTCAATGTCTCAAATACTAAACTACAGAAAAAAAAACAGGAAATTTGGTACATTTAATTTTTGGAATTTCTCTTACAATTACTTGAAACAAAATCAAAAGGTAGAAAATAAGTACCTTAAAACAGAACAAAAACACAAATGTTTGATGTGGTGTTCAAACTAGAGAACTCTGGCAAAATTTCTTGGCGTTTTTCAAGTTGGATGTTCTTTCTTAAAGAGAACAATCACCTCCAGTTAAAAATTTGATAATAGCGCCAGCCTCGAACAACAAATGGTTAAAAATTTGTGTGAGTTATTGTTTTAGTTCATTTATATAGTAAAATATAGACTTATTTTTTATATGTTAATTAATTTTTTTTCATTATCGAGTAAATCTAATTATCCGGGTTTATGTGGAGCATCCTGTAGTAAGCTGCAATGTAGGATTATTATTATCATTATTATTATTATTGTGATTATTACAACTAAATAAAAATAGAATGTAAAACAATAATAATGAAAATTATAAATAAAATGACATAAAACATTGTATAAATTAAATAAAAAATAAAAAAAATAATAAAAATATTCCCAGCATGCAAAAAAAAAATGTTTCTGCCGGAAATACTGACATCCTGCCAAAAGACGTTAAATTCAATCACTTCAACACGAACCTTGACACGGGGAACACGTGTCTAATTTATCTCTGATATTTGGCTTGTAATACTACGAAGTAAAGTCTCCCTTTTATCACACACTAATACACTTGTATGAAATTAACATACAATTTACTATGCTTTTCTTTTATTAAACATATATATATATATATATATATATATATATATATATATATATATATATATATATAAAATGTCTTCTATCTTAGAAGATACTTCAAAATTTACTAAACTTGGTTCTGCTGACATCTGTGTGGAACCTCTTCAGGTAAAGCGAAATTTTAAAAATTACTTCTAAAGTGGGTAAAGTCAGGGCTACTTTCAAAAGAAATTGCCAACGAAATCCGTCCTTCCGGTTCGATTCGTCCCCGATTATATGATCTCCGAAAATCCATAAAGAAGGTGTACGTTTACGACCGATTTTATCTATGATCGGTTCAGCACAAAACAAGGTAGCCCAATGGCTCTCCACACTTTTGGATCCTGTGTTGCAGTGCCTGGATTGATTTTGCATAAAGGATTCCTTTTCCTTCGTCGACGGCGTTCAAAATTTGTCTTCTGGTAAGTTCATGTGCTCTTTCGATGTCTGCTCCCTGTATAATTGTGTCCCTTTAATGTAAACCATTGATATTTGCTGTGATTTGTCTATCGCAGTTCATTGACTCCACCTGAGTCAATATTTCGGGAATTGATGAAATTTGCCACGTCCTCCATCAAATTCAGTTTCAACAACACCATGTACCGACGGATCGACGGAGTTGCTATGGGCTCGCCTTTGGGTTCGGCACTTGCCAACATATTTGTTGGCTTTCAGGAAGAAAAGATACGAAAGAATCCACTTTGTCCTCAAATGTACTGTCGGTACGTTGATGACACCTTTTTTTTATTTAACGGTGAAGTTGAGGCTGACGAGTTTCTTTCGTTTTTAAATGGTATCCATCCGGTACTGATGTTCACTATTGAAAAAGAGTCCAATCATCAATTGTTTTTTTTGGATGTATTAGTACATCGCACATTAACAGGTTTTCTCACTTCCGTTTATAGAAAACCTACTTTCGCAGGGTTGTACACTCTTTTTGTCCCACTAAGCTCAAGATTAACATTATTAAAACCCTCCTACATCGAGCATTAAAGATCTGCTCTGAGCCTTTCTTGAACGACGAAATCGACTTTATTTAATGTAATTTGGGACTTTATTCTATGTAATTTGGGTTATCCTCTTGATACTGTTAATTCAGTTATCCGTAGTAAAGTTGAAGAGTTCAGAAGTGCCGAGCTCTACACTGTCAAAAAATGCCCAGTTTACCTCAGATTACCCTGGATTGGTACCAAATGTGAAAAAATAGCCAAACAAATTTCATCCAATGTTCGTTGTTGTTTATTCTCTGCTGAAGTTCGGATTATTTTTCAAACTCGGCCTATGTTTCGATCTGCGTGTAAAGACGTTCTCCCTCCCTATCAAATTAATTCAATTATTTACAAATACGTTTGTAGTTGCAAAGCCGACTACATAGGGAGAACAACTCAGCGCTTAGTCATGAGAATAAAACAATTCGTTCCTACAAAAATTAGAAATCACACCCTGCCTTTGAATGGACTCGTCCCGAACGCCTATAGTTCCGCCATATGCGAACACCTATTAAAGAACAGAGATTGTGCAGCCAAATTTAGTGTTGACTGGTTCACCGTGTTGTCCCGGTCTCACTCCTTATTTCATCTAAAGGTTCTGGAGGCACTTTACATCGGGTCCCGCAAGCCTTCTTTGTGCAAACAACGTGAGGGTTTGTTGGGACTCGCTGTCATTTGTCTCTAGTTCCTTTTGCATATTTTTTTTCTTTATTTTTTTCTCTTTACAATTCCTTTTATTGTACATTTTTCTGTGTCAATTTTAAATCTCCCGTTGAAGCCTGAAGAGCGGGAGCGGAACCGGTTGCTTCACCCGTTTTTTTTTAATATGTCTCGTAATATTAAGTTTTATACTTTTATTTCGATATATATATATATATATATATATATATATATATATATCTATATATATATATATATATATATATATATATATATATATATATATATATATATATATATGTGGGGGATTTTAATGACGGACATGTCTTCGTTATAAGTGATATTGGTGTTTTTGAAGAGGGTTTTTGTCAAGGTCGCTAATAGACAGATTTGATGAATGTGAAAGCGCATTTTCTTGAATGAATATATTCTTTAGTTTAAAGTTTTTGGTTATGACCTGTACCAACGAAATAAAAATCTTGTCCAAGAAATTACATTCCGAGTAATTATCATGACACCATCATCAACTTTGAAGATGTCTATCATTTACTGCCTAGAATACACACGCAAAACATAACTTCACCTACCCACTGTTATCTTCGCAATATTGTAATTCTATATCCATCACTAAGATAACATTTCAATTTTCATGTTATTTTTCGACTGAGGTACATATTTCTCTTTTTGATGTTTACTTAAAATTCGAGCGCTTGGTTGATTTCATCTATTTTCCCAAATTTCTTCATTTCATGCAAGTTTTTTTTTGTTGTCTCTGTTTACAGTCGAAACGCCAGCTTCGTTAAATATTATCTTGTGATCAATCCACATTGCTTGTTTATAAGCGTTTCAGTTTTCTCAAATCTCCTTTTGCGACATTCTTAAAGACAATGTTATCTCTGGCTTTCATCTTGCCAATATTCACAATTCCTTATACAATTGTATTTTAATCAATTTTTAAGTTTTTCGCAATTTCAAAAGTCCTGCTCCGCTTTCTATATAACTGTACACCATTATGTTTCTCTTCTGAGGTATATCTTTCAATGCCAATTCTTATTCATCAGAAATTCAAATATACATGATATTAAATCTTTTTCTCATATTTACATGAACGACACAAACTTCAGGTGCTGAGCAGACACTCAAGGACCATTACAAAATTTAAATTTGATCGTTAAAGCATTGTTGCCTCTGTCTATATATTATATGGTGGTTACCGTTTTATTAATACACACACACACACACACACACACACACACACACACACACACATATATATATATATATATATATATATATATATATATATATATATATATATATAAAATATATAACTAGCAGCATGGCCCGGCGTTGCCTGTGCTTGATTCAAAATCAAAATGACTCATACAGCAATCGCTATCACTTGACTTAAAATAGTTTTGCCCTTCCTTGCCTTTAAAGGAGTG